GACATTTCCCCACATTCTTAAGCAAAGTAAGTTAAACATAATTCAACAATTTATTGATGGCTAAGAGTTACCTTTTTGAGGAAGAATGTATTCCTCATAATAATACAGTGATGTTCTTAACCACAGTCAAGATAATAGGAAATTTGTCCTTTTGCTGAATGGGCCAAATTGCTCTACTTTTAAAAATAGTTATCTTTTTAAAGTTTTTGGCTCTCACTTTGTTGTCAGGCTTTCTACTGTCACTTTTCCTGTCAGATCACTTGCAAGGAACACAGTTCTGCAGCTCTTGTCAGCTTTTAGCATCTTTTCTTTGGTGGGGGTGAGGTGCTAGTTGTGATGGTGTGGTATTTTTAAGGTCTTTAAAAATACTTTGTTTTCAATTATCTTATAACGTCTGAGAAATAATATGTACCCCAGATTCCATGATATTTCTGGTTTTTTTCTAATTGGAAGCAAAAGGGATGCAAGTAACCCAATTGTAATATCTTTGAATATGATACTATGTATGGGTCCATACTATGATAGATACCAGATAGGAAGGGCTATCTATCTAGTGTCTCTGTCTTGATATAATTGGGGGAGAATGCAAATGGAGATACCTCTCAGAGAAGCTAAAGAAAAACAAAGCTTTACCCGTGGAATGGTTTTGCCATCTATTTCCAGCTCCTGTGACCTCCAGATATGTTTTTAAGGGCAACCTTTAGCCCACAGGAACGGGCACAAGCTCTTTCCTAGAAGACAGGACAGCACTAGCCGAGGCTGCGGGAAAGGCGGCATGCTGGGGCAGACTAAACGTCAGCCGGAAGTGACTAGAGACAACGTTCCCTCTAATTTTTATATGGATGAAGCAGTCACAATGGAGAGAAGCTGGCATTCAAACCCAGGCCAGTCTGATCCTGAGCAGAGTGCTTGCTACATCACAAGTGACCTCTACAGACAACTCATGCTCATTCTCTATGAGTCATGGATCACCCTCTGGCAGCCCAGGCTTGGGCTGAGCTCCTACACACCCTTCTTCCGCAGAGAGATGTGAGCAAGTCTCTTGCACAGCGATTCTGCTGATCAGAATGAATACATAGCAGTGTCAAGCCAAGGAGATGGCTTGCAGTTTGGACCAAAAACCAAAAACAAAGCAAACAAACCTTATTTCTATGGCTTCGGTTGAGCTGGAGGGCAAGAATGTCAGATTGCTTTGCATGTAACTCTGTGGTATCTTTTCCCTCATTCTGTTGTTTGCACCAAGAAGTTGGTTAATACAAAGTCATAACAAACTCACCGACAGTGAATTTTGAAAGGCTAACTTCCAGATAATTTACTGTCAAATTAACACAGAGTAGTTAATCACTTTTAATGTCTCTTTTCATACATCTATATTCATCAAAGGAGTCCTTTCTGTTTAACTACTCTGACCCGAATATTTGGAATGAATATTGCTGCTATCACAAATTCCCTCCAGGGAAAAGGTATAATGGGGGTGAAAACCCACAAAATAAAAATAGCATGGAGAAATAAATAAAGGGAAAATATAAAAGTAAATGTGATATAATATTCTTCATTTCATTTGGGAAAATAGGTACTTTGTATATAAGATATCAGGGCTCTAAAGAATACTTTATCTCATAATTCTGGGTCAAAACAGCCAGCACTATTTGTGTGCATGATAGTATGACCAGAACAACTCAAACTTTGTCATCTTGTCTGATTGTGCAATTTCATAAGTACACCATTCTGGAAAACACACACTACTTCTCCACATTGTCACACAAAACACACCCCAACCAAATTCTCTGCATGGGCTAGCTGTACTACAAGTCAGTTCTGACAGTATTTACCTGGAGGTGACATCGGATCCCAGAGGTCATAGGCTTCTTCCCTCCAAAATTCTCCCACTTCAGAAGCCCATCACAAGTCAGGACTCCCATGCTTCTGACTGGCTATAAGTCAGGGGGGCTTGCACAACTATTTCTGCAGCATCAATAATTTGTTAGATTGATGTGGAACTTCCATCCCCCTCTGGATGAGCCTGTCTCCCAGTTTCTTGGTGCATTCACCAAGCCAGGAGCTCATCACATCTTATTGTTCAAGAGATTTTATAAGCCAGTGTGGTGGTGTGGTGCTGCAGCCTGTAATCCAAGCACTCTAAGGGCTAAGGCAGGAGGATTACAAATTACAGCCCAGCCTGGGCAATTCAGTAACTCAGAGAGGCACTGAATAAACCTAGCTCTTTTCTCCCACTATCATGTGAACTCTTTGCAATTCATTGCTTGCTGTACACAGGATCAGAATCTGTCCATGTGGTAACATTAGGATTCAATGATATAATACACATAAAATATTTAGTGTAAAGCCTGGTACATGTTGGGAATCCTACAAATATAAAGTGTTATTATCTGTGTTCTTAACAAACATGAACAATTAACTTTCTAATTAATCTGTGGTACTATTAAGTGCCATTTCTGCTCTTTTCAGAGTAAGTGATGAATTCTGGAAGTTAAATGAGATAAACACCTGAAAAGGACACAGTTGGACCCTAATTTGATGTATTTGCATGGCTGAATGAAAATTCTTGATATCTCAGGATTTCAGTGATAAAAGTATTTATTGGTACTGATGGAGCCAGGAAAAAAGATTAGTCCTGGGCCAGCTTTCTGACCCTTCCAGCAGCAGGGGTTGGTAGCATTTGGGAAAATGTCATCTAGATTTAGATTTAAGAGTATGTTTATAAAATTCGGGACATAAAAGCATAAGTTGTTTTCCCTGAGCCTACATTGGCTATAGATAAGAGAGGTGGGATTGCAAAACAGAGCAAGCTTTGGGAGGGTAGATTTGTGCTTCGTTACTCCTGGATTGATTGAGTTTGACAGTTGGGAAAATTTATATGTAGACAGGGCAGTGGCCGCTGTGGCTTGCTATGATAGGATTTACATTTTCCACATTCAGTCAGGAATGTGAAATCCTTTTATGTTGGCCTCCACCAAAGCTGTTCACTGATTAACTTCCCTTATCTCTTCCCTTTCCATCCTTCAGCCCTTGTAATTAAAGTTGTCATAATCAAAATCAAGCCATTCATATCAAGCCCTAACCAAAAAATAAAATTAAGTAAACAAACCCAGGAGGTTATTAAGGAGAGGATCTTATGCTTTTGCCTGACAACAAGAACTGTCAATTCCAGGCCCCCCCCCCAAAACAAAACCCAAGAAACACCTCAGCCAGAATCACTACCTTGCACAAAGGCCATAGCAACCTTACACAGAAGAGGACATCTACCCATGTGGGACTGTATGATTCAAAATTCAATTATTCCCCTAGCCTCTGTTGTGTTTAAAATTTAATGGTTAGAATGTGCTTGTTAGTCTTGAGATAGTAGATAAAATCTGTAACAAAGCAAAGTTCCTAAGTAAATCATTCAACCCCTTGTTTGTCCGGAGAACGAAAATTCCCGGACCCACTATTGGTAGAACAATCCATCACTGTGTCTGCTGATCATCAGTACGTGATGGTCGTGATCATATGGTCGTGACCACTACTGTGTGTGTCTGCTGACCATCAGTACGTGACAGACGACCACTAACCTTTGTTCCTTTTTTTCCCGTGAATCTACATGTTAACCTCCCCCTCAACCCCCTATAAAAACAGCCTCGGACTCTGAGCCAGTTGCCTCTCTTAGCTACTTTGCTTTGGGAGTGCCGTCTGGCCAGACTAATAAAGGTCTGTTTTATTTTCCAACTTGTCCGGTGTGTTCCTTCCCGGGTGATTGTCGCTGCAGTCAGCTCCTCGGAGCATTTGGTAAGGCCCTCAGTCTTACACCCATAGCTACTTTTTGTGTGTGTGTGTGTGTGTGGGGTACCGGGGATCAAACTTGGGACCTTGTGCTTGTGAGGCAGGCAGTGGAACAACTGAGCTAAATTCCTGGCCTCATAGCTACTGTTTAATCTGCAACCAATTTCACCCTTGTTATTGATCCTTGTAGCCAGATTGTTGTTTCAACATAGATTATATAATCTTCTTCACTTGCCTTTAAAACTTTATCTTGCGTTAATTTCCTTGAGTCCACAGTTTACAAGGGCATGCATATTCCCATTTCAGCACTCATTCCTCTTCAATTAGTTTATTTATCTTTGGAGAATCTCTGCTATTGAGGTTGACACTTGCATATCTTACTTAGTGATGACAGTTGTACTAGTCAGCTTTCCAGTCACTGAGATACAATATCTGACACTCACAGTTTAATGGAGACAAGATTTAATTTGCTCATGGTTTCAATCTATGAGCAGCTGGCTCCAAAGCAGAGATATAATGGTGACAATGGTGAAAGGGCATGGCAGAACCTAGCTGCTTAGTTCCTGGTGGCCAGAAGCAGAGCTGAGGAAGACTGCTAGAGAGGAAGGGGCAAGGAACCGGATATAGGCCCCAAGGCCAAGCTCCGTGACCCGCCCTGATTCACCTACAAGTGGACTCCAATCCCCAGGGTGGTTCCCAAAGCAAATCCAGTAAAAATTCCACCCTAACTACCTCAGTGGTTTTCTTAGTCCTAAGTAAATATCAATCAGTATTCAAATTAACTACTTCTGCTCATGAGTCACTCCTCAGATATCACAGCACTACCAAAAAAAAAGTGGAGATTCAGTCATTTTCAGTCCAGATCATGTTGAATGCTGTCACATAATGCTCCCCAGGCTCACATCAGGGTAAGAGGCCGCTTGTTGCTTTAATCTGAGGCTCTGTCCGGCAGACTTCGCACTATGGCTCCTTAACAGTTTTGGAAGAGTTCTGCTTCCATGTGTCTGTGTTCAACTCAGAGTAAGGCTGATGGCCACCCACAGCCACTAAGCCATTCATTAAAGTGCTGGAACAAGGAAAGCACACTGAATTTTCTAGTTTCTGATACACTACAGAGGAAGAAGATGATGGAGATATATCATAGGAAACAAGACATTTATAGTTTCAGGTAAGCAAGGTTACTGTGTATAGACAGTTATTAATAATTTTTAAAACCTACTATGACCAAAACTTATGGCTTGAGGAGTTCTAAGAGAGTGACAGAGCAGCTCTGGTGCAAGGTGACGATTGCCTACGCTGTCTCTCTGGCTGTCTTCCTCCCTCATTCCCAGGTCACTGTCACCACCGCTGACCGATTTTCTCACTCCATGCATCCCTTTTTCCATTGATACTAATTCTATCATCACCGTGCTTCACCTGCACTTGGCCCTGGGTTCAGAATTCCCAGGAAATAATGCAATTATTTCTCTTGTCCAGAAAGATAGATGCTCAATAGCTGACTATAACTATTAATAAATTCTGATAGTAGACAAACAAAATCCACTTCTTTTAGCCTTCTAAAACTTTCGAAGGTCTAGAAACCTCTATACATCTGTATCTATCTATCTGTCTAGCCATTCATCTATCTTTCTCTGTAATGCAGGAAACAACAGGCTAAGCTATAAATGGAGGAATAAATATCCAACATGTTCAAAATACATTCAACTTAATCTTTCTCATAGTCAAATTGCCAAGGAAGATAAAGACACCTTTCTAAGAGAAAATGACATTTATCTGTGGATCTGCAGATTTCACAGGATTGCAAGGATGAGAAAGGGATTCTGAACCATGCAGTCAGAGAATTACAGAGGTAACCCTTACAAATTGTCCCAGTAGGGGCCAATTGGTGAACCTTCCATCCGTACCAGGAAATTTGATTAAGATTAGGTAATTCAAGGCTAAAACAAACAAAAACCCCCCTTATTTTAACCATGGCAACATTATTCCTGAGCTATTTGAATGAATAAATAGATTAAAAAGCAAATAAAAACCAGTGGATGTAAACTTCTCAAGTGGCCAACCTAGCGAGACAGCTCAGGCAATTGTCACATCCCACAGGAGCCCTTCTCTTACCTCTTAGAGAGGCTCAAGCCAGAGGTTTTGGTCATATAAGGTTTTATATATCATTAGTAACTATTCATACCCAACAACTTTGCACTCCTAAAACCACTGTCTTTATGTGATCATTTAATTATTCAAGATTGCTAAACAAATCTTATAAGAGGGCAGAATCTGTTGAATAGGTTTATAAAAGAGGAAAAAACAACTATATTGGAAACAAAATTTATCCTTCTCTGTCTCTGCTTGAAGGGACTGATGTAGTTCTTGCTGCTATGCTTCAAAAATAAATTTTCTGTATTTTGAAAATGTCCAGAGAAGAACCCAAAATAATTACAAGTATTGAAAATTTTTAAATAGGTGATTTTTTATGCTTAAGGTTAGATTTGAACTTTCAATCTGGAAATGAGAAATCTAACTAGAAAAAATTAAATGTATATAATCAGGAGTATTGTGCATAAAATGAGCCAAGATTTGCTTATCACCAACCTCAAAGTCCTGAGGCAGGGAGATGGAACTGTTTGTAAGTCACGAATTCAAAAGCCGAAGAGGTATGTGTAGTAGGAAACACATAATTGCATTTCAAAACATTTGGACAAATCATGATTAATACAGTCATCAATGACTATGAAATATATTCAGTTCTTATAAATAAGATGGTTTCAGAAGGGGTAATAAAAATATTTTTCTTGACATCTCTGTGAGTAGGAGAACTCGGGTGTAGATAGACCATATGTTCAAATGTTCTCAAACAGCTCATGAGTTAGAAAAGTTCGAGAACTGTTGATATAATCAAAATATTACCTCTAACCCATTCAGCATGCCACTTTTTGTCCTTTCTATTTCAGATCCAAGTACAGTAGAAACAAACTTTCAGGAGTGAATGTTCCCCTTTGATTGATGGCCAGGGGTCGGGACTCTGCAACAATTCTGGTGAATACACGTAACTTCTTGGTTTATCTCTATTGTTTCATCTTAAATTCTGCAAATGAGATGATGCAGATGAGCAGTGCTGCAGCTCCTTCTCATTTGCATTTTATTAGCTTTATGACAGTTTCCTTCTTGCATGATATTACCTAATTACATCCTTCAAAGAAGCACTAACATATCACTCTCCACTTTCAATTACTCACTCCAACGAAGGGAATCATGAAACATCCACCCCCTTCCAGAAAATCCACCCAGAAATTGGGCTGCTGTGGGAGGTCTATGATGTGAAGAAGTGGGACCACAGTCCCAATCAGGAGGTCTTAAAGGGAAGTCTGGCTTTGGCCCTGTCCCCTTCAAACCAACTTTCTAGCCACACAGCAACACAAGTCCAGAACCATGTATGCCCTCATGGTATTACCTGACTGTATTGCTCATGTATTTCACAGAATTTGTTCCCAACCAACCTATTTCAAATGACTTGGGGATGTTCCCCCAAAACCATCCATCCAAAAAGAATAATATTTTCACAGTATTTCAAAGAAAGCATTGTAGCTTCTCAAAATAATTGAAAAGAGAAAATTCAGACTGATTTTTTAAAGGACTGTTTCAATTGATGTGCAGCTTCCTAATGCATCTGCTGTCCCTTTTTCATATAGATGATCAGCTCTATGTAAAGTAGTGAAACTGTCTTTGTACCCGATTTTCCTTCTTTGACTCTCTTCTGGCTTGATGCCACCATTCCTTTATTGTTTAGTGCTCAACTCAGGAGTCCTATTATACTAAACTCCTTTTTGTTCTATTTCATCTCTACTTTATTTAGTTAGTGCACCTTGGTTTTCGCAAGGAAGCATTTATGGTTCAAATTTTCATCAATTGGTCTAATCCCACTTCATTCTGACTACCTGAAGTTCCTTAAGTGTTACTTTGTTGGGTGTGATGAAAGTCTGCGTCACTAAGTTCTAGAAGTTGAGTTGTATAGTTAAAAATCATGCTGTGGTAAAAAAAAATATGCCTTTGTTATTTGATGCTTGTATGACCCTGTTATTTTAAATTTCCTAAACCCTGATTTCCTTATTTGTAAACTGGGGTTACTAAGGCTTAGTCTGTTTTCTTTACAAGATTTTTACAGACCGTGGATGTTAGATAAGTCCATAATTACCTTATCCGTAACCATCATCATTTGATGGTTTTTGGTCATGTCTATTTCTTTCTTAGTCTTTTCAATTTGACTGATGATCCTCTGGCTCATTTTTCTTATTCTTTGCTTATTCCATTTTCTCATTATTGATGGTCAGCAACCAGAACTTCACATACTGTTCCAAGAACCACAGTTTCTAAGAACGCTATATTTCATTTCTAGTTCCTTTTTGTTGGTGACAATATTTTGGTTTTTTAAAAATATAAACAAGTCAAAGCAATTCATGGAATGAATCTTTACAGAATAATTGCCAATTGTTCTTAGAAACTTTTTTTGGACCATACCTAATACTAGAGACTCCTTCTTCAAAACAATTTGCTACTGATTCATGTACACACAGGCAAAAACTCATGAATGTTCCTGGAGTTTATCTCAATGTCTATTTTCCACTTCCTGATAGTGCCTCATATCAATCTCAGACTTAGGGACTTAATAATGCATCATTTATGTGTTGCAGAATAAATCTAAGGATGGTAAATGGAACCAGCCTGAGCACAGGTCCTTCATATCCTCAGTGAAACTTCCTCTGCTCTGAGAAGTGTACATCTATATATTCCTTGCCAATGTCAAAGTGCCAATGTTAGGAGTAGTTTTCATTCTTATAACTGTCAGGAATGTGTTAGATAATACATTTTTACTGACCAAATCATGAGTTTTTCTCATCTACTTTCTTCATCCCTTTACTCTGAAAACAGCAGATTGGTAAGACATGGTTTTGCTGTTAAGAAAATATATTGCTCTTGCCCCAGTAGGCTACCTTTGTAGAAGGATAGATCAGTTATGATACACTAATAGGTGCAGTTCTCTAGACTGGCAACACACTGTTTAAGGCAACAAATTACAGAAGTGAGTGAGAAGTTTCACAATTTCCATTCTTCACAATCTTATAAAATATCTGGATTGGAAAGGTACTACTACCTTTTTGCCAGTTTCCTAGAATACTTAGTTACTGAGCCTTTCCCAGGCAGTATTATCTTCAAAAATAATACTATAATAATAAGCTAATTATTACTAAGTATTGAATAATACTTTAATAATAAAAATATTATCTTAAAATGACTTTTCTAAGAGAGCTTTAGATTCGGGTCTCTAACTCATTATGAACCTTTAAGCCATATAAGCAGGATGGTGAGGGCAATAGTTAGGGGACTTCAGGTATTTAAAGTTGTAAGTATGTATCAGTACCGTCTCTGTTTCACTATTTGAACAGTTCTGTGCACTATTTTTTGGACTAAGCCATGAAGACAGTTTTTTGGGGGGATCCAGTACTTTCATGCAAGTTTATGTTATTCTGTGTAAATTCCTTATTTACTCTAATGATTCTTCGGTATTGGCTCTTTCTCTGTCCCTGGACAATAATGCAGCCCATGGTAATATCTTTTTCAATTTTATAAGTGTCATCACATAAATTAGCACTCATTATTTGCTGAATGACCACTTATTTCCATTATGTCTATACCATCCCTTTCAATATGGCTTTAACATACAAACAAAAAAAAAGAGAGATCTTTATATGTTTAATAGAGGATAATTGGTGTACCTGATCATCTTAGTTACTTTTCTTATTGCTGAGATAAAATACCCGAAACCCAAAGTTAAAGGAGGAGAGGTTTATTTAGCTCAGAGTTTGTAGAAGTTTCAGTCCATCATCACCTGGCTCCAAGGCAGGGTGGTATCGCAGAGGAGAAAGAGTTCATGGTAGGCAGAAGGTAGCAAAGCAACAAGGGACAACCATAGCTCTTTCTATCCTTTTTATCTTATCCAGGCTACTTAGGGCAGTTAGCACTCACACCCCTAATCCTAGTGCCCTTGATCCTAGTTTGCACCATGAATCAACCCCAGTGTCACACACTCTAGATCCAGCCACCTTTGAAAAAGCCCCACCTATGACCACACAAGGCTTTGGAGGGACATGTAATTACAAGCCATAGCATGATATTACACATGCTTAAAGCATAAAATTTGGTGAATTTTGACACCTAAAATGTATCTACAAATTTAATTAATTAAAAAAATGGAAAAAATAAAAAACAGTTTTTGTTATTCTGAGGCCTTTGTGTTTTCATATGACTTTCAGGATCTGCTTATCAACTTCTGCACAAAACCTACTGAAATTCTGAATTATATTGACTCTATAGTTGCAATTTGGGAAAAAAGTTCACCTTAATAATATTGAGTCTTTGAGTAACCAGAAAACTGAATGTTTTTTCCATTTCCTTGGGTTAAAAAAAATCTTTGCAACATTTTGACACATTCAATGCAAAACATGGCTTTTCTTAAATTTATTCTTAAATGTGTTATACTTTTTAATGCTTTTATGAATTCTTAATTTCATTTTTGATTGTTCACTGCAGATATATAAAAATGCAATTGATTTTTCACACATTGATCTTGTATCCTTTGACTTTACTGAATTTACTTATGAGTTCTGGATTTTTTTCTGTTATTGTTTGTTTTGTATATTTTCAAAGATTTTCTACATAGTCCTGTAAATCCTCTGCACACAGGTACAGTTTTCTTCTTCCATTCTAATCTGTATGCCCTTTATTTCCTTGTCATACTGGCTAGAACCTTTAGTACAACTTGAATATAAGATGAGTTTGAACATCCCTACCTTTTACTGTTCTTAGAGAAAAAAATCTTGAGCTTTTGATTTGAATTATTCAAAATAGGTTGCTTAATTTACAAATATTTGTGCAGTTAACAAATTTCATTCTCTTGTTGGTTGGCAATTAAATTCCATACCTTATATTGTTCAAATTATTTAAAATTTATTATCATTTTATTTAGTCTACATGAAAAAATTTCACATACCTTTGAAAAGCATGTGTTTTTCAT